TAAAATTAATATATTTTTTATAGATTAGTTTTGTTATTCATTAAATTAAAATGAAAAAATAAGATGTATGCGTCTACATATGTCATTGCGAAAGAAAGGATTTAGACTAAGGTTTGATGTGACGATATACATAAAATGCATCAACATGAGATCGTGGACGACTTAATGGTAGAGGTAGAATGACTGCTGGACGGGTTTGCCGAGAGCGATCGGCGCGTGATCGTTGATTTCGTCTCTCGGCTGGTATCTCGCTCCCTCATCTTTTGCGGTCGCATGTGAATTCTTCCCTGAAGAGACGCGGCATCCAAAATGCGCATCCTGGGACGCTATTTGGCCGACCACCCACGAAACTCGTGGTGGCGAATCCGTGGGCACGAGTCCTTCTTCCTCGTCTCTTTCCATTCTTCTCGCCTTTTGTCCTTCGCTCGCACTCACATCATGCGTCTTTCCGGATCATCTCGGACTCGAAAGCCGCCATTTGAATGACTAAATGGAATCGAAGTGAAATAGAACGCGCCCGCCCGTGCCATTCACGTTCATGTGTCACGTCTTACTCCCGAAAAGCCGGTCCGGAATGATGATTTCCGGCGATGAAGCCCCGATGACTTTCGTGACTTAAGCCTTTCTGGCTGTCACGCGGCCGTAATTATATGCCAAGAGAATTGAATATTCTCTCTTTTTTTTCCGAGTGACTTGGCAGCGTGGGGGATAAACTGCCTCTATTATTATGTGTTATCACGCTGTATTGTATACGATGTTTTCACCTGATTATATAATTTGTTATGGGTCCATAATGGCTTCTGATTATAAATTTAGCGATATAAAAAATGTTAATAAGCTAGTTGACACGAGATATGCATATATTATACAATATTATATATTAAAATCGCTCGTTTGAAGAATTATTTTTCCGCAAGCTCAGTGTCTTTATAAATATAAATTTTAATATAAAAATATATATTTATAGGAAAAAATAAATTGTTATTTTTACAATTGCTATAAATATGTATTTATATTTTAAATTTATAATTAAATTTTAAATTTAAATATCGTACATGTTTACTATCCGAATATTTCGCGATTTGGAAGTGAGAAGGTTAATGGCTCGCGGGGTGTTCCAGCTTGTCTTCTCAGACCGTCTTGCTCTCTCCCTCGGGCAGCTTCACCTTGTTCTCCTCGCGCACTTCTCGTGACGTATGGGATCGTGCGGAGAGTGCGTCCGGAAGCAAAATCGAAGAAAACGATAGTATATACGCCGGGGTGGTACAGTGCTTTCCATAGCACTACCAGCCCCCGGCGTTCTTTCTCACACTCTCTCTTTCTAACGGAACAGAGCGTGATGCAGCGCGCCGGATCCCGGCTGACTTGGAAGACTCGGAGAGGAAACTTGCCTCTAATTATCCTGTTGGGGCCATATAGTAGCCGCGTGAGTGCACGCGTGCGCCGCGCCGGGATATGTGAGTGCGCGCGTGAGTGCGTGAGTGCGTGCGTGCGTGCGAGTAACGCTGACGCGCGACCGAGAGGAGGACCGGGCTTCAAGGAGAGAAGGGCGGCTCCAACGCAACGGAATATATTATAGACTCGTTCCTTTCGAGACTCGCGCCGCGCCGCGCCGGCCTGAAATCTTGCTCTGGGTTTCGTGTTAACTTAAGTGTCCCTGAAACGGACTTTGTGGGAGAGCGCGGCGCGCGTTTGCAGCACGTCGCCTCTTCTCTCGGTTGACTTCTTAACGGTCGATCTCTTCTTTTTTTGTTTTTTTTTTGTTTTGGCAGAATTCCTCTTTTCGAAAGTAGATTATCGATCGCCATATGTGAATTGTTTTTGCATCTCGAGTTGCGCTCTTGTTACAATTAATAATTGCATTGCGATACCAAAGTAGATCACATAAAATCATATTATACGATAAACGTCAAATGAAGAAGTATATGACATATGTCAAAAATAAAAAAATAATTAAGAAAATATGACTATGTCAATTTTGACGGCAAAAAATGATATCATTTACGCGTTGATTTAATGGACCGCTAAAATGGCTATATCGAGCGCGTCCTTGAACTTTAAATATAATTTGAAACAGTCTCTGAAAGGACCAACCGCGCAACAACGAGGACGAGTCGTTAGTTGTTTTTTCAATGAGGATCCTTACCGGTCAGACGGATCTGGATTCGCACAGTCAATTCACCATTGAGGCAGCTCGCGTCGTTTTAACTCGTTGCACCGGTAAGACCGGGCTCACGATCCGATCGTGAACCTCAATTACCGTTCCTCTTCGTGTTCTCGCACGGCTCGCCGGAGATAGATAAGGGAATATGAATTATTAATTGGACCACGAAAAATTCCGCGTCGACTATTCTTTTATTTTTTCTCTCTCTCTCTCTTCTTCGATTAAAATAATATCTACATTAAACTTTGCATAATCGACTAAATTTGCATTTATACGGTGATAAATGTATTTTTATTTATTTTTTTTTTTAATAGACCCTTTTGATTGGTTTGACATTATACTAGATTGATATGTTGCATTTTGCAAGTCAATTAAGGCATACGCATCGCAATCTTTAACACTAAAACTCAGTCGTTTTAAGTCGTTTTGCGGTTTCGAAAATTGTGAGGCAGCCAACGCCCGAAAAGGAACGCACGACGGGGAAATTACTGTTATTTTCTCGTGTTATTTACTCAAGAACCACACAGCGACACGATCCGATGGGGCTAATCGAGAGCAGCTTCTGCGCAGTGACATGGTCAACTTCTTTTGCGAAATATAATAATATTCGAAAATACATATCGATAAACGACAAATTGCAAATTCTTTCTCTTTAAAAAAATTTATAATATCAAGATTTAAAAAACCAATCTACTTTTTGGGAAGAAATACGCTTCACCTAAAGTATTAAAAGAAGATTTAATTTATATGACAGAACATGTGCACATTTCTTTGTTATTAAAAAATTTGCTGAGTGTAAAAAAATTTGTATTACAAAAATAATGAATGTTTCGTATTCACGTTATGCAAATAACAGAGATAAAACCATTATAATATTTTCAATGTAACGGATGAAATCGAGATCATCAAACCCGCTAGAGGGGATGAGGATTAGATTTGACAATGTAGAGAAGTCTTATTTATAATAGTTAGTTGTTAACCCTTGGCAGCAAAAGAATACAAGAGAAGTTAATTACAGTAAGTTACAGAAAGCAATCCGCTAAATTTAAATAAATTATATGCTGCAAAATTATTACGATTCTAACGTAGAGATGTCGTTGGGGAAAGGGAGGTAAAAAGATAAATAACAGTTTTGTAAAATTATTCATAACGTCACATCCGTTATAATCAACGAATTGCCGTTAAATTTTATTACAATATTTTTTTATTTACAAAAAGGCACTGCCGATCACGAAACGTCGTTGATCGATTCATTCTGGGCGAATACATAAATCTGATTGTGTGAGCGATTCATCGCTCGTATTTATACACAATAATTTATAACATAAAGAATTAGTGTTGTCAATATTCAGGTACATAAATATTTCTAATAGTATACTTAGATATTCTAATATTTCGGATCTAGGCACGGAACTTATTTTAAAATAGGAAACTCCGAATGCTAAACAATGAGGCTATGTTTATATTCTTAAAAACGACGTCTCTCTCTTTCTCTTTTTTCTTTCTTTCTGCAACTATAGTTAAACATATCGTTGTTTGAATGTGTAGCATCAGAGAATAATATTATAGTCTAACAAATATATTAATTATATGTGCTTGTGTGTATGAATTCCCTGAATCTTCTTTGATCAACAATATTTCGATTCTTATAATATACAGTTATATATAATCTTAAGTTAATATATGTAACTTCGTAGCATCGTTTTAGTATATTATTATTATATAAATTACCAATTATGATTGAAGCACATTTAAATAAAAATCTACAATAAAAAAAGAATAAAAATTGATCGAAATATCAAAATTTTAATCGAAAAATAATGTAATGGATTTAAATACTTGCGTGTAATTTTTATAAATTTGAATAGACACATATCAGATATATAACCCGAGAAATATATATAGAGATGATTCCACATACTAACAATACTAAAAATAATTATTACACAATAATATAACAATATTTATAATTATAATTATGATATAATATAAATATAATAATTAAGTAACGTAATAATGTGATGTGCTTAAAATAGTAATAATTATGTATAATATAATAATAAGTATATTATATCGAACATACCGGGAAAACATCCGAAAAAATACTCGGACATCTAAATACTGACAGCACTAACATTTATTCATTAACACTCAGTTACTAACATGGCCAGCGATTCTATAAAATCTGTAGAGATTTTATAGAATCTTTACAGATTTTATAAAATTACTGCAAATTTTTAACATATATACAATACATATATATGTGTATAATTATTATTGTACAAAAATTAAATAATATAATATAATGCAATACATAATATAATATACAATATAATATATATAATATAATATAATGTAATATAATATAATATATAATTATTATTAAAATTATTATACACAATAATAATTATGACATATCAATGAATTAATTTCTTTTTAAGAATAATCTCAAGTTATTAGTAAACTATTCATTTGAAATATTTCAAACGAGAATTGCATGATTTAAAGAGATAGTTTAAAGCATCAATTTTTTTCCTCTGTATGAAATATGTACGTGTGTGGAATATGTATGTATGTGCTTTCGAAATATGTACATTTCTCATAATTTATTCACACTTTGCATATATTTTTATGTTGCTCTTGAGAAACCACGCAACTTTTGTTTAAAATATATTTTTCAATTGCAATAAATAATTAAAGAATAAATTGAAATCGTTAAAATATACGAGATATCTTGAATAAATAATCAATTGTCGATGAAATGCATTCTCTATCTCGGAGAGCATGTTTATTCTTAAATAATAAAATGCGAAAAAGTATATTTTTGCGACAATAAATTATATAAAATATACACAGATAATTAAAAATTGCAATTTTATATTTGTTGTATAGCTGTGTACTTTCAAAGTACTGCTTCTTTTAATCGTATGCTTCGAAGGTGTGTATGTTTGTGACATCTCGATACGACAAACATAGTTTTTAAAGATAATCCATATAAAAAGCTTTCGCATTTGTACAAAAGAAGATAACATATTACACTAATTTAGACGACAAAATGCAAAATATGATAATATGACTAGATTATAATTAATGCAACAGCCGCTTTCTTCGTTTACCTTTGTTTCGCTTAATATTTGTCTTTGACCCTCTTGATGTCCTTCTGCATTCGGTCATGCTGTAACAAAAAACGGGAAAAGATCATTAGATAAATTAATATTTATTTTAACCAAAAAAATTTTTTTTATTTGTAGACTCTATGTGAATTTTGTGACATTCAATGTTTACGCACGTAAACATTGTTGATTTTTCCGACTGGATCACACTTCTTCTTAGTAGAAAGATGATAAAAAAGAAGCTTTGCAGGTATACGAAATGAAAGAAGGGGATGATTCAGGTAAGGGCGGTTTACTGCAAAGGAGTCCCGCTCCTCGTGAGCAAAGTGAGAGAAAAAGTGGAAATGAGAGGAGAAGAGAAAGAAAGGAGAACGTCGTACCGGTTCAAAAACCGACAAACGGAGGGATGGGCATATCCTGAAAGATGCATTCAAGTTAAACGCGGCAGACGAAATCGTCTTCGTGAAAAAGAGAGGTGGAACGTTAGATGGATAAAGGAGAAGAGCGATAGGGGAAAAGTGAGAGACAGGGATAAGGAAAACCATATATACGCGTTGAGTGAAAGTTACGTCCATCAAGATTAGAGTTGAATTTGGACGTGGATTTAGTGAAAAGGGCAAACTTCGAATATTTGTTCATACTTGCAATTTTTATTGAATTCTTTCAATCGAAAAAGATTAGAAGCAGGGAGAATATTTTACTTCAAAAATTATCGTATAAATTCTTCACATATTTCCTAACTTGAATTTGTCACGTTTAGGATTTTTATAATCTTAAATAATTTTATTCAAGTATTATAATCTGCACAAAATGATAAACTTGTTTTATTATTTTTATATATTATGTTTTAATTTTATACGCTTGTTTTAAAAGTGGTAGCGTTTTAAAACTCACACTTTATACAATATATATACAAGTTAAAAAAAAAAAAAAAAAGGTGTCTTTCCTCGATCATCGGATCGAGCGACTTGGAAATCTTGCTGAAGGGTGAGAGGCGGGTGAGGTAGAGAAAAAACGGTAGAAGAGGGACCGCACTGACGCACACATATATACGTATTAACGTATCGTGAAAGAAATTGCGGCACAAAAGCGTCGCTCCTCGAATGTATACTCGGTACCCCTCTGAATGGAGTCTGCGATTTGAATGGAGGGTTTCAGCGAGGGTTCGCGCGCGCCATTGTGAGGGGGCAAGGTCACAAATCTAGTCGGAAATTTCTTTGAGCTTCCCGTAACATAGCGAGACATTCACCCTTGGATGAAATATATGATTGCCAACTGGTGAGGGTGGCAACGAAGGGAAGAAATATTTTAAAAAATGGAACGAATCGATCGAGTTCGTGTCGAACTGTGTTCATCTGATTGATCGATAATCAATTATAAATTATTTCATTATTTCAAAGTTAAATATATTAATTGAAAATAAACTTTATCGGCAGAGATTTTTATTACAAATCTCGTAAAAGATTAAAAATCGACTCGAGATATCATAAAATCCAATTAATTACCTAAGAAATGATTAAACAATAAGATAAGGCTGACGTTCACAATTATTGGCACGCGATGCAGCAATCGAAGGTCATGAAACCTTGCAAAGCGAATGATCTGCGAGTTACAACTACCAACTAGAGATAAACGATGAATCACGACACCAACCTTGAGAAGGACACTCATTGACTCTGCCACCAAGTGATGGCATCCAGTAGCTCTTCGTCCTCTGGGCTCATCGGCTCGTGATTGTCGTAACTGTCGGAATACGTCGTGTAAAGCGTACCAGACGTGCTGTAACCTTGACTTCCAGCTGACGAGGTTTCAGAAACGAAGCTCGGCGTCGGCGAACTCGACGCTTCCGAACATGTTGTCGGAACGAAAGTCGGGCTCGAATTCTGCCGGATATGTTGATGGTGGTGCAGATCAGACTCGTGCGGACTACCGTGATGACGTATTTCCGTGATGCCACCTCGTAGTCTCAATTCCGCCGTATGACCGGAATCCATTCCATTTTCGGAATCGGGCGAATTGGAGGACGTGGAAGAGATGGGCGAGGCTCCGCTCGACTCGGAACCGCCGTTGTGCTCGTCCAGAAGACGTTGAAGACTTTTGATATACTCCACCGCCATTCTCAGGGTTTCCACTTTAGACAGTTTCTTGCTGCCGGCTCTGGATCCACCGTGAGTCCCGGCCGTACTGCTACCCAGCGCCTGAGCCACCGTCTGCGGTATATGTTGCCTCAGAGTGGCGAATCCATTGTTTACCTGCTTCACCCTGTTGCGTTCTCGCGCGTTTCGTCTCGCCACCGAGGCAGGCTGATGCGGAACCGTGCCGTAAGGCCCACTGGACTGGCCGTAGATCTTGGAGCGCTTACATCCATGTTGCAGGCCACTATTATTGGTCGGCATACCGCTGGTGGAGACAATCACGTTGCCGCGATGGGTCTGCGCGGTCGAAGTAGCGTGAAGGCCGTGGTGATGATGCTGCTGCTGTACACTCAGCATGATGGGTAGGACGCTCTCTTCCTTGGGCCCCACTAAAGTCATATCACGGGTCCAAATCCCCCCACCACCCAGAAGTAGGATTGTGGTAGCGCGTGCCAGGCGACCTTCGTAGACTGCACTGTTCGATATATATATATATATATATATATATCGAAGAGAAAAACTTGATCGAGGATGAGATTCTCGTTGACACCTCGTGGTACGCGCAACTTTATAATTAAACCGAGCAACCGATCGACCGACCGACCGATCGATCGAAAAGACAAGCGTAGGAAGAAAAACGAAACTGCACCCTCGATGCTGTCGGTACGATTCTGGCTCCCGAAATGCTTAGCCAATGAGGGCTCGGGGCCTTATATAGCTGGGGCAGGCACGCGCCTGCTATCCCCTCCACCGAACCTTCGTACTCGATCGGGTCCTAAACCCCCGGTCTTCTCTCTTTCTTTCTCTCTTTCTCTTTCCCCGTCTTACCGGCCCGCAGTGCCTCATACCCTCGTGATTTCCCACTACTGCGGACCCAAAGCCCTACGCTGCCCGAGATTCTCATTTCCAGTCGTCCTCGTACTAGTACGCCGATACTATTCCGATCTGTTTACCGATTTACGTCTCAACGCATTGTTATCGATGTGATAGGACCTGTCATTAACACGTGCTCGAATTCATTGATTAACTAATAGAAAGGATCAATTTTCTCCATTTCGAAAAATACGAATTATATACATTTCTTTCATTATATTTTTCATGAATAAGATAATCAATGTGTGAAAACAAGTACTAAGATTAATTTTTTTATTTTTTTTTTATCTTTATAAACTATAGTTTACTTAAACCATAGAATTTTAAAAACTATACGTATATTAAAACCTGATTTCTCTCTTTCTCTATATTTAAAATACATAATTTATTTATCAATAAAAATACTGGTTATAATTGGCTATTTATAATTGAGGAAAGTTTAATCGAATATGAAGAAGAAGAAGAAGAAGAGGAAAAATATAAATGTTGATACTGTGAGTAAAACAAGACACGGGTTATCATCATTTTGAGGAAGATTGTCGATTTTTAATAAAAATTCAATCGCAATCAACAAAATACAAATAATCCGCAATTGAATAAGTGTCAATAAGGCCCAATGTCTGCGTATTCGGCCAAATTCCGGCCCGATTCCGCGTGAGAGACACTGTTGCGCACATATGAAGGGTCCACATCCCCACCGGCCTCGCGGTGTCTCGGGGATCGAAATTTGAACAGTTACCGGGAGAAAGAAAAGCTGGTCCGGGCAAGTTGATGAAGCGAGACGACGAGAGAGCGAGGTGTAGAACGCATGACAAGGAGAGAAGCCGAGGAAGAAGAGGAAGAAAAATGATGAGGAACAAGGAGTGGGAGGAGATGGAGAGGTCTGCGGCTGGAGGGAAGCTGTGCAGAAGACGAAGAGGTATCGGAGAAGGGTGAGGGAGCCCGGTGGCACGGAACATACGAGTACCCGAGACGACTGCAACAGGAGGGCGAGAGGAGAGAAAAGTAGTGATGGCAAAAAAGAGATAGCGATGGGTACGACTGTAGCACGTCTTCTCCGTAACAGTGTCCTCTCGTTGTCTTTCTTACGATACGCACAATTTATTAGAAATATATTCCAATTATTGCATCAAATAATGCAAAAGGTTGAAACATTTCTATATCTCGTCGATATAGATTTTTATTATTCGAACAAAAAGAAATTCTTATTTTTGCACATTTATTGACGAAATGGAAAGCTTCAGTAGATCAGAAGATTTCGTGCATCAAATCATCATACTTAAAAAAAAAAAAAAAAAAAATTACGGAACCAACGATATCAAGTTCACTGCTGTCACTAGTAAAGAAGACATGTATGACGACAAAGAGGAAGGGGAAGAGACGCGAGCCGTCCTCCCTTCCTCACATTCGTGGCGCGCGCCTACTCCCATCCGCTGATTCCCTTCTCCTCCCTTTCATTCGTCCGGTTTTATCCTCGCCGAACGGAGCGTGCGTGCGTGTACGAGGGCGCACGCGTGCTTGCTCGAGCCTCGTGCGCTTAAGGGCGCTTGCATGGGGTGGGGGGTGGAGGGGAGGAAGGGGATGCGCGTACATGTGTGTGCTCGCGCGTGGAGAACAGGTATACGCGTTCCTTTTTCCTCCTTTTGATTCTCTCTGGCGGTTCTCCCGCGTCTCTCTTTTCTACAGGTTTGTCTTTCTCCTTGTCGAAAAGGCGACTCACGAGGGAGCGCTAGAGGACGACCGACGTCTAGAGAGAGGCTCCTGCTGGACACATTTTTACGTGAATAAATAAACGTTGCAGGACGATTCGGATTTAGATAATAGATGCGCGCTTTGAATCCCTGATAAGGACGACGAGTATGTGTGGGAACGCGAAAGAGGATAACCGACATTTCAGAGTGCTGAATGTTTAAGCGCGGGTGGGAAATATATATGTAAAACTGAATATATAATTTTACAGAACTGCATAGTTTACATTAATATAAATAGATACATTATTACTATTTCACTGAAAACTCACTATGAAATTCACGTCACACGTATAAATTTCTTCATAGGGTTGATGATATTTGAATATATGATTCATGTGTTAAATGTTATAAAATCGCTTTGACGGTACAACGAATGATTAATTCTATATATATATATATATATATATATTGAATTAACGAAATATTTTATACTGGCGTTAATCTCCGAAGAGGAGAAAGGAATTCGAAAGCGGATATATTGCGTTGCCAAAGAGGAACGCGGCAAAGGACAGACAGAGAGTATTCTGAACATTTTAATAGCCTTATTATCTTGAAACCTCCTGAAGTCAGAATTTATTCCGTAATTATATATTCTCGGACTCTCTCGCGCGCGCGCGCGATGCCTCGATTCTCGATTGCCAGACACTTCGCCGCCAATTACCGTGAAATTAATTACCGTGCCGAGTGGTGAGATGAACGATGCCACGTTGTTGCGTTTCTCCCTCGAGTCAACCCTTGCAGTCGATGCAACTGCGCGTTGCAGTCTCTGCCTCGGGCGCGGTTTTATGTTAGATGTTAGATCGTTCGGATCATTGTCCCGTGCGCAATCATAGAGATTAGGGGGTTCTCTCTTTCTCTCTGGTTGACCGGATGAAGTATGGACCATGGATGCGCTATGCAATTGTTACAATTTCTCGAGCCCTTCTTCTCCTCTCCATCATTTTCACGACGGAGGCGTTTAGAGCAGTTTAGTTCTTCATATTATACGTTTGTTGTAATAATACACCGCCGCTGATTTGTGTCGATTACACGTTATCGTAAACAGTCTCGCGAGTATTTAAGTAAAATGGATAATAATAGTTGTGGAGTTTGTGTCTCTACATTTTTTAATGTTCTCATGAAAAATATGTTTTTCTCGTGTCAGGTATATATTAAAATAGGAAACAGCTAAAATTCTTATTATTATTTTTAGATACTGTGAAATTAATTTTTTCTTAAGAAAAATTATTCGGATAATAACGATGTCACAGAGAGAATTTTTCTTCATCTCTAATTAACTGCAGACGCTTTCACGATTGTGACGAGGCCGATAATGATCGTCCTCGAAAAATTGCATCGAGTAAAATGCATCTCATCATCGAGTTATTTATAATAATATATAAGGACATTGAATAACGAGCTTTGACATCTATGCAATGAAAGAAAAATATTTTTCTGTTTTTCTATTAAATTTTTCGTGCGTAAATGTATACGCATAAATGTAACAAGTAGTAATAATTCCGATACCGGCTAATTAATATTTACGCGATAAATTTATAATTTTTTCATTATATCTGTGAAAATATCGCATTTTTGCACCGATCTCACGATAAAATTTTTTATCTACGATCGTAAATCAAATTTACACATTTTTTGCCAGATTTGTGACGAATATATGGATTTTCACGTGTCGGCACGTCAACACCGGCTCGCATATATAATGCGCAGATAATTGTGTTCCGGAATGAACGGGGGATCGAGGAAAGGCAATTCGAGGGAGAGAATTTACGCTTGCGTACGTCTATATTTTATACATAGGGTCATATGTGGGGTTGTCGAGCGGAATATAATCGGCGACACATATGACGCACAAACGTACATGTTTGGGCAGGTATGCGTATCGGTGGGTGAGCTAACGTACGTGGCATATGTCGCAGCAGGTTGACCGGATACCGATATTGCTGATTAATCCGCTCGTATGAATATCGAGAATTTTTCTCAAAATTTTTCGACGAATATGAAAAAAAAAAATTCGATGTAATTTGTCGCTAGAAAATTGAACAGATTGTCTATTGATTATGCAATAATGAACAAGTTCGTGATTTGTTACGTATTACGCGTATTACATAAAATGAGACACGATAACGTTCAATTGTAAACTCGTTGGATCAATCTTTTTGTGAGTTAATTATAAATTAAGTAATTAATTACAAGCAAAATAAAGAAGTAGAATCGATCGATATATTAGACAAGAATTATATAATATTTTGTTGAATCTTTAGATATCTGTATTGAATATTCGAATAAACGGTACGCGTTATTAAGATGGTACCAATTACCATCGACGCATATGCACTTATCATGCAGTGATTAAATTGCACTTTATATCCAGACGTAGATTAATGGACAACATGCACTTGGTTTAAGAGACGCGGAAAAATGTCTGACAAGAAAATACTTATCGGAATTTATCTTCCCTGAATCATTCTTCCTGAATCCCAACGCAAGAGAATAAAAAAGATACCTATGGCCGCGATGAATTAATACATACACATACATATATCCGCATTACTGGTTATATACAACTGTATAGAATATACACTATAATATGATAGAACAATATATTTCGATATTACGTGCACGGTGCGTGTAATTAATTATTTTAAAGATTAAAAGGCGCCATATATATATGTTGGTTGCACATTGCAAAGTTACATCGACCTGCACAGTACGGAGATTATATATATATAAATATTTTAAATTCATCTCATTTATTTCGCTAAAAAGCCTTGATTGCGGAACTCTGCGCTTATCCCGCGGGAGGTCTTCAAGGTCTTGGTTAAGCGAGAGCCGGATACGCGCCAAGAGTGCGAGGCATTGTATTCCGGATTTGTCACGTTTAGACAAACACGTTATTTGCATATTCCCGGGGATACACCCGGCGGATTGTGCGTACGCGTGAAACTTTGCAATTACCTCGGCGCGACGGACGCGAGCGAATGCGATCGCTGTATGACACCCAGTCGGCGCATAATTCTCCCTGGTTTAAGCATAAAACGACAAAG